GATCGCATTAGTTCAATCTGTGGAAGACCTTGTGGTGGATAGCTTGTCTTTGGACTGCGAGATCTCCTCTCTCTGTCCACACACGTTTAACAGGCAAACAGAGCTGTTCCCAAAGCAGCTGTTGCAGGAATTCGCTGGGATGGCGTAAGGAGCAGCCGCACTGCAAGGGTTCGGAGTCTTTGCTTCTGCCAGTGCCTTTTAGGAACAAAGGACAACCACCGCTGCCTGCATTCTGTGGCCTGAAATATAAACCCATTAACAGAAGGATGAAATTAGCAGTGCAATCCTAAACAGGTACACCTTTCCAAGTAGAAGGGTGCAGCTTTGCTTAAGATTGCACTATTGGTCACTGAGGAACACAGGAAGGAGGAGAAGGCTACAGAGAAAACACCAGTTGTCTCTGAAAGCAAAACTCTGAGGATAAAGGGAGTTTCCTGACTGCTGATTTCAGGGCTTGGGTGGTGCAACAGGGGCTAGCAGACTGGCTGCTCCCAGCAGTCAGACAACAAGCTTTTCAGAGGCGAATTTCTTGCCTTCTAGCTGAACACTTATTGCTGAGCTACGTGTCAGAGCTTTGGTATGTTAGGAAGCAAAGGCAAGCTAAATCCTTGGCACAATAGCCCTCCTCAAAGCCAGGGTTGCCCTTGAATTCCCTTTCATCCAAATACCATCAGGGCCAATTGCCCTAAAGTTGTTTGAAACATCCCTTCCATGAAGTTTCTCCAGGCAGAAGCCCACAAGTGTAGAGCAACTTACTAATAGATTACGGGCAACTACCACCACCAGAAATACCTAGTAGGGGTGCAGAAAGTTACCTGTTGCACGGAAATGAGATACCTGATGAGCCAGCTCAGACATCCCCTGCTGCTTCCGTGTGATTGGTCCAAGAATTCCTTAGGAATGCAGCAGCGTCCAAGAAGCGCAGCCTCAGTTATAACTGTGATTACATGGGTGGCTTCAGCAATACTCAGCTGCTTGGTGTGAAGAAAGAGGCAAACACCAAACCTGGTTATGACTTACATCCGGTAGGGCTGTGACTCAGTGGCAGAGCAGCTGTGGTGACTGCAGTCCCCAGCATCTCCAACTAAAAGGACTGGTTAGCAGGTGATGTGAAAGAGACTCTGCCAGAGACTCTGCAGAGGTGCTGCCAGTTAGAGGAGACAACACTGACCTTCATAGACCAGCAGCCTGACTCAGTATAAGGGAGGTATGAAAGAGAACCCATGAGGTGGTTGTAAGGAGAACCAGTCCTTAGATTCTCCTATGGGTAGATTCCTGGTTCTTCTCTCTCTCCTCCTCACCCAAACAGCCCAGGGCCATGCAGTGTGCCTTCTCTTGAGCCACTACGGGTGTTTGGAAGTAGAGGACAGGTCTGTATTGCATCAAAGCACTCCTACGATTTCCCATCACTTCTACTTGTGTGGGGTTTTCTGAACTGTCACTCAAAATCTGGTAATGGAATTGTTTTTTCTTTTTCTAAATTACTATTTCATATAAGCTGTGGCTGAACACACCTAAGATATCTGACTGGAAGAGCTTAAGCGATAAGTGTAATGCCATGAACACACTTGCAGGAGGAAAGAATATATGAGAAGGAATGATACGCTTTGGATTCCAGTGCACTTTATCTGCTGAGGCAAATAAGAGCTGTAATAGCTTATACACCAGTGATACCAAGAGGGTAGATAATTCACAATGAGCTGGCTGCACAAGAACCTAAGATGGTGTGAGAAGAGGATGAGGCGCATACCGTGTAGGTAACAGGAAGAACATCTAAAACAGAGACAATACAATGACTGGCCAATGCTCCGCAGAGCTACACTCTTCTCATTGAAGTCAGTGAGCTTTGAAGGGCACGACCCTGCTTCGGATGGGACTGTTGGTGTCTTCCTCATAATACTGAGATGGGAAATAGGCCTATGTTTCCTGCCTTTAAGAAGCTGGAGAACTTAAGTGTGTTTCTGTGCTGAGGCGTCCTGCCCCTTTCTGCCCTGTTCGCGATGTCACTTCTGGCTCAGTACATCCCTAAACAGGTGGGACCCCAGGTGGCTGGCTGCAGAACAGATTTGTGAGTTAATGAACTGCAGAGACAAATATATTAGTCTCTCCATCAAGTGATGCTGGGGGCATTAAGGAGTGACTGGATGCCAGCAAGACGCTCATAGCAAACACACCACATTCCTGATCTTTTCCAGCTCTGCTATGTTCAGGCTGAGGCTCTGCTTTAGAGTTGGGAAATCTGACACGAGTGTGGACTGGTGGGCACTTTGGATTATGGTCACCTTAAAATAAGTCAGTATCTTGTGTGAGTCTGATTAATACCGAAATTATGGACACCAGATCCTTTTATAAAAATCAAGGTAATCTGAAATAATTCTTACTCTTTCCAGAAACATTTCTGATAGCCAAGAGATTTTTTTTTAAAAAAAAAGTTAATCCCCGTGTTCATCAGATTGCATTATTGTAGAAGATAACAGTTTCTATAAAAAGTCCAAAGGAAACTTGTTCCAGATGTAGTGAATGGCAAGGGCATCTTTGTGTAGAAAGCCCACCCACTAGGTGACTGGTGAGAATGGTACGGGGCAGCCAAATGCCAGGCTGTAGGAAGCCTCCTTTTCCATGTTCTCTGATGGATCCTGTAGTTCTTTCAAGAGCATCAGAAGCACTTGTTGTGACCTTGGGTTCTCCTGCCTTGACAGTGTGTGAGGGAAAGACTTGCTATGTGAAATGGCAGGCCTGGCTTGGATGCTTCCCGGTTCCCAGCTGAAAGAAAGGAAGGTTTTAGTGCCATAAGGATTTCATGCATTCTCTTTCCCCCTCTCCAAGGGAATTCAGGGGGAACAAAGCCAAACTTAGATTACGGTTGATATATCAATACTGATCATTTGTATAACACTTCTGGTCTGCAAAGTGCTTTACAACCCTCACTGCACTTATCATCAGAACAATCTTGTGAATTTTACAGACAGAGACTAAGAGAGAGACATGTGCATGTGATTTGGCTAAAGGTCACCCACAGAGTTTTTCTTTCATATCTACTCTGGTTCAACTGTTTTCTTTGACTGTGTTTTTTTTTTAAACCCAGAAAGTACTGTACTGAAAACCAAACTTGCTATTTAAAAGTAAATGTTTCCATTTCAACAATTTCCTTTCATCTGTACACTATGAATGAATAAAAATTGATTACACATCAGTAGAAAGAGTATCAAGGCTCTTAAGAACATAAGAAGAGCCCTGCTGGATCAGACCAGTGGTCCATCTAGACCAGGAACGTGTTTCACCTAGCAGCCAATGGATTGCCCCAGATAGGCAAACTAACAGGGCACAGAGGCCAAGGCCTTCCCTAAAGTCACTTACTAGTACTTCTTTAAAAATAGGAGTTCTGTGTGTGTGCACGTGCATCTTTTGGTGATTTTTTTTGGTTGCATGATTAATTTTAATCGGCAGCAGAGGAACAGTGGGTTTGACTAAGGGAGGAAATCTTTCATTCCCACTGCACAGAAAGCCTACAAGTCAATTATTAGTCATTGATGCAGAAACTGGAATGTTGACACAATATTCAATGTTTCGTTCTGTTCACTTCCAAAGAGGTGAGGTAGATTATTGAAGGATGTCATTCTTTTTGTTTCCCCGAAACAAGTTAGGAGAAATAAACCAATCTGCATTTTCCCAGCCATTATGAATCCCTACAAAGTTTTCTTTGTGAAAAAATGGACACCAAACTGCAGTGAAGATTAGAAGAAAGCAAAGAATATGCAGGAATTCATTATGTTTGAGCCATAAACCTCATGAAACCAAGAGAGCCTCAGCCAATATATTAAACCATCTTTAACCACACTCATGTGGAGCTGCAATGGCTCAAGTGGTTAAGACGCTGAACTGCAGGCTGTGGAAGGTCGGTAGGTCGGTAGTTCAGCAGTTTGAGACCCGAGTGTGCCACATGACGGGGTGAGCTTCTGTCTCTAGTTCCAGCTCCTGCCAACCTAGCAGTTCGAAAGCAAGAAATTGCAAGTAGATAAATAGGTACCACTTCAGTGGGAAGGTAACAGCATTCCGTGCACCTTGGTGTTTAGTCATGCCGGCCACATGACCATGGAATTGTCTTCGGACAGCGCTGGCTCTTTGGTTTTGAAACGGAGATGAGCACCGCAACCCTAGAGTCGGATTCGACTGGCTTTCGAGCAAGGGAACCTTTACCTTTAACCACACTCATGTACATGACAGCAATACCCCCTCCCCACGCACCTTGACCTCGGAGTACAAGCCACTAAGCAATACTGGCATAAAATATCCTTTCCTTTCCAAGAGGCTTTCATGGGATTTCAGAGCAAACATCCTAAAAGCAATTGGTGGGTGTGCAAAGCAGGTATTTGATGGATTGCTTCCAAACAAAAATTCTGGTAGAGTTTATCATCACCTATTATAGATGCACTTTTTGTACACAATGGGCATTTTGCATACTCAGTGTTGATCAAAACTGTAGCCCTTCATTAAAGCATATAAAGACCATATCAGGGAAACAATTCCCACACCCTTCTAATATATATATATATGTGTGTGTGTGTGTGTGTGTGTGTGTGTGTGTGTGTATTTTGAATAACTAAAATTATTTCATCTTATAAACAAATTCTGCACAGAAGTCACAAAGATCAGCAGATAGAGAACAAAGCTAAGAAAGGCCTGTGTTGTCACCGTAAGAGTATAGAAAAAAGAAAAAAGAGGAAAATATTTCTATTTTTTTAAAATATATACATCGTTTTTAATCAGGTACGGTATACCAATGAAATAATTTTCACACCCATGCTCATTGTTTTTTAAAATTATAATTTAAAACTTGACCGTTTTTCCATGGAAGGTGCTACAATGAGACATGTTTGCCTGAGCAAACACTGTTGCTTCAAAATGCCGGAGAGAGACAGACACAGATAAAAAAAAGGAAAGGACACAGTATAAAACCATACAAAAAGATTATGTTCAAGAAAGCCAAACTGCAGCAGCGGCTAGTATTGCTGGATAAGGCGCCGACGTTGAGAAGTTTTCCTTAGCAGTTTCTGGTAGTCGTAAGGATTATCCTTGCCTTTGTTCTCTTCCAAGGGGCTCCCAGTGACCCTTGGCCTAGGGATTAAGTATAGAAGCGCTAGAAATTAGAAGTTAAAACATATACTTTGGTCAACGGTGCTATCAACGCCTCAACGTCCACCTTCAGCAACCTCCCCCCCACCCAGCTTCCCCTCCCAGTCCGCCACCTGCTGCAGCAGAAGGAAACTTGTATGCAGGGTGAGGGGAGAACATAAACTAAAGTAGCATTTTGCTTGATGGTGGAAAGTGCTGACTTATGGAGATCCCACAGGGTTTTCAAGGCAGGAGACATTCAGAGGTGGTTTGCCACTGCCTACCTCTGCGTAGCAACCCTGGAATTCCTTGGTGGTCTCCCATCCAAGTACTAACCTGGGATATCCCTGCTTAGCTTTTGAGATCTGATGAGGTTGGGCTACAGCCTGGGCCATCCAGGAGGGAAATAAAAAGGATATAATGAAAATGTCAGGTTAACTGGAAGGGCCCCCTGGGTGCTCCTTAGCTGCTGTGGATCTGTCTGCCTAATGATGCCTCCATCACTAGGCACGGGACAAGTAGACACTGGTCAGGGGTGTTTCAGATAACATGACCTCGATCCAGTCACTCTTTTTCATCCTGAACTACCTCACAGGGTTGTTACTGTTGAAAAACAATGTTGTAAGCCACTTTGGGTCCCATTGGGAAAGAAAGCAGAGTATAATTATCCAAATGAAATAAAGATATCCTGTCAGGATAGGGGACTGGACCAGATAATCTGCTGGGGCATACCAACACAATGATTGTCACCCTATCCTGGCAAAATAAGACAGACAGCTGATTTGCACATGAACAGCTATGACTTCATTACTTCTGCTATGTGTGAACCAATCACACTACAGTGCATTACATTTGAACATAAGAGAACATAAGAACATAAGAGACGCCAATGTTGGGTCAGGCCAAAGGCCCATCCAGTCCAACACTCTGTGTCACACAGTGGCCAGAAATACCAGGTGCCATCAGGAGGTCCACCAGTGGGGCCAGGACATTAGAAGCCCTCCCACTGTTGACCCCCCCCAAGCACCAAGAATACAGTGCATCACTTGCCCCAGACCGAGAGTTCCTATCTATACCTTGTGGCTAATAGCCACCGATGGACCTCTACCTGCTATGGGTATTCTAAGGACAGAGTAACTTCTGTGATGACCCATTCACACATGCAGGTCATTGCTTGACACTGAAGACACCAAGTTCCAAAAGTATGCATGGATAAGCAGCCTTCTTATTATAAAGAGACTATTTACAGCTATCAAAATGAGTTCTCATTTTTTTGAAAACAGTTGTTCATGGAAAAGCAAACCGAACTACCTTGACTTCACAGTGAAGTCTGGTAACAGGAGTTCAGCACATGGTCAAAAATATGATTGGATGGCACATTATCCTGCAACCTAGCTGAAGGTGAGTCAGGCTGGATGGGAGGCCTTTGGGGAACTGTAAGCAATTCTGAATCCATAATGGGAGAAAGGTTGGGTATAGCTTCAATAAATAAACTGTGAAGCACAAGTGTTGTTGCTCAGATCAATTGCACAAGCAATCCAAGTTGTTTATTTGGGGCAGAAAATGTTTTCGGGGTGCCAGTGAAGCAGCGTGGAATATGACATTACTGAGGACACTGGGCCATGATGTCCCAGTCAAGTGTCGAAATCAGGTGTGGCAACAAATGTCCTGAGCCAGTTCTGCTCAGATGCACTGTGACTACAATACCTGTGCAACAAAATCGTCACTCTGAATTCAGTTAGCAGCATAACGTCTGCTTGTTTACAAATAGAAGGGCTCTGGAGATCTTTAGGAGGGCTAGCTAACAGCATTTTGGCTCATTGAAGAATGACTTGCGTGTTCAGTTGGGGACATTCTCCCAAGCAAGTGTGCATAAACATGGCAGCTCCAGAACACAATCCTCATCAGAGTCACATCCTTCTAAATCCAATTAATGTAGAAGGGTATAACTCTGCATACAGTACAATTCTAAGCGGGTCAAATCCAAATCCTACTTGGGTCTATCCATTGGGGTTCACTCCCAGGAAAGTTCTTAGGATGGCACTATTAGGATAGCACTGTTATATTGCAGTTCTAAGCAGGTCTACTCAGAACCTTACTGAAGTCAATGGGGCTTACTCCCTGGAAAATGTTCTTAATTCTTATGGGATTTTAAATTACTTAGTGGTTGCTTTGAGCAACATTAGAATCAAGACCAAAATATCTGTACATCTGCAAATGAAGTTGGCTGCAATATCTTCTTCACAGTACATTGCCATAATTCACAACACCATTTCCCAAACCCACTTATTCAACAGATGCACGTCTCTCCCCCAACAAATTCAGTAGTATTTCAAAGTGTTCAACTTTGGCTGGTCTTCTGGTACTACTCACCCTTCATTAACCCTCAATGTAGCACTCTTTGGGTCTCTTGGTGGGTTCCCTCGTGTGCTGGAATTACTGTCATTTGAGGTGGAATCCATGGATGAAAGCTCTTGGTAGTAGGGATCATCAACATCCAGGACCTTGCCCAGACTACAAAGAAAGATCATATATTTAGCAAATATTACTGTAAATAAGTTTGTGAGCTAAAAGAGATTTACGAAGTGGCAATGTGGCATTGGAATATATCACCCAACAAACACAGCGGCACTATGAAAGGCTGCTAGAAAAAAAGAAGTCCTTAATATAAAAATATTGAGAGCAGTGGTGCACAAAACCTTTCTGAGGGCCATGCATCGTGTCTCACGAGACTGATTCAGGAAGGGCATCCTCCGAAGAGGTCAGTTAAGCTTCCTATGGAGGACTCTGAACAAGCTGCCTAGACGGTGGCACCACTGGACCCTGCTGCATTCTGGAGCCAGAAGCAGATGCCCATATCAGAAGGTGGAGTGCTCACTTTTCATAAAGATGATGGTTGTTTTTTAATACCCTGCTTTTCTCTACCTTAGGGAGTCTCAAAGTGGCTTACAATCACCTTCCCTTCCTCTCCCCACAAGAGGCACCTTGTGAAGTAGTTGGGGCTGGAAGAGTTCTGAACTTTGTTGCTGCTGCACTAACTACATTAGCCCGAGCTATCTGGCTAAACAGTTTCCCTGCTGCTTCAGCAACCTTGCCTGGAGCTTGCTTATTACCCTGGCTCCATAGTTCTCCTGCTTCCTCATCAGACCTTTTTCTAGCCGGGGGGGGGGGATATTTTTCCTTTTTCACTGGTCCCACAAGAGGCACCTTGTGAAGTAGTTGGGGCTGGAAGAGTTCTGAAAGAACTGACTGGCCCAAGGTCACTCAGCAAGCTCCATGTGTAGGAGTGGGGAATCAAACCTGGTTCCCCAAGATTAGACTCTGCCACTCTTAACCACTGCACCACACTGGCTCTCAAAGATGAACCGGGAGTGGTTGTGGCACAATGAAAGAGCATCTGACTTTCACGCAGAAGGTCCCAGGTCCAACCTCTGGCATCACCAGTTAATAGGACCAAGTAGCAGATGATGTGAAAAACCCAAGATCCTGGAAAGCTTCCACCAACCAGCACAGAAAATCTTGACCTTGACAGACTGATGGGCTGATTCACAATATGGCAGCTTCATGGGTTCAAAACTCCCTGAGTTCAATACGACTAGGACTGGCTCTACAAAGAAATGGATCAGCAGGGCCAACTTTAAACCAGTTTGGTTGTAGTGGTTAAGTGTGCAGACTCTAATCTGGGAGAACTGGGTTTGATTCCCCACTCCTCCACTTGCACCTGCGGATGACCTTGGGGAAGCCATAATTCTGTCAGAGTTGTCCTTGAAGGAGCATTTCTGTCAGAGCTCTCTCAGCTCCACCTACCTCACAGGGTGTCTGTTGTGGGGAGGGGAAGGGAAAAGAGTTTGTAAGCTGCTCTGAGACTCCTTTGGGTAGTGAAGGGCAGGGTATAAATCCAATCTCTTCTCTTCTTCTTCTTTAGTTGCTGCTTGGACTTTGTTGCTGCTGCACTAACTACATTAGCCCGAGCTATCTGGCTAAACAGTTTCCCTGCTGCTTCAGCAACCTTGCCTGGAGCTTGCTTATTACCCTGGCTCCATAGTTCTCCTGCTTCCTCATCAGACCTTTTTCTAGCCGGGGGGGGGGGATATTCTTCCTTTTTCACTGGACCCAAAGAGTAGAAGACAATGTGGATTTCCAGAACTGCCTCACACTTGACATTGCAAAACATTAATTGTGCAACTATTTTCTTATGTGGATAGCTGGTTTCCTAACCAGGTATCTCTCACTGAGCAAAGTCTACCAAGAAAAGGGCACACAAGCTTCCAAGTTGTGCAAAGGTCCTAATCAGGTTGAAAGTGTGATGTGAATGAAAAATGCCACATTATTTTATTCATTCTGGACACCTCATTCCTCTGGTGCAGCAACTCTTGTATACATAAAATGGATCTCAGGGGGTTGTTAAACCTTTCCGGATTTGTTACTTCAGGACTGTTATATAGAAAGTTTTCTAAAAACTGTCAACCTTGAAAATGAGGTCAGAATCTTGAAGTAGAAAGTAACTCCATTCTACGTCTTGCTACATGAGAGAAAAATCAAACTGCCCATGTTCTGTGATGTCCTTTGCAGTAACTGGGGACACAGCTTTTGAAAGGCATATAGCAAAGATGCACCTGCTGACTTGGGGGCTGTGTTGAGTCAGAAAAGCACTACAATTACCAGGCAATTTTCTGCAATGCCATTCTTACTGATATAATTAAGGCTGTATTAGTACTCCTTTTTAAAAGCCTCCGCCTTCCATGGATTTATGCATTTAACACCAATATGCACTCGGCACTGCAATTTGGTAGGCAGGGTTTTCAGCGGAGCCACGGCTGCCAGGCATTTAAATTCAGACTCCGGCGTTTTGTGATATCAGGGAGATGTGACATTATCAGGGGGGTATGTCAGGCTCGGAGATGAATGAAAGGCTTATGCGGATCAATAAGGCACGCAGAGATAATCACCATCTGTATGCTTAACTGTTTCGGAGCAAGGCCAGAAAGCACAAACAAAAGGGAGTCGCCCGACTTTGGTCCAGCCTAGGAAATCCCCTGGCATAACTGATGGAACTGAACATTTAACAGGGAGCACATGCTGAGGTGGGGGAGCTGCTGGGCCCCAGGGCTTCTGGTGGGGTCCGCTGCTGCTGCTCAGCTGCCTGCCTGGGCACCTCCCCTGCAAGAACTCCACCACACATGCTCCCAGGTGTGCAAGGGGGCGGGGAAAAGGATGCACAGACACTCAGGCTGCCAGGAGCCTAGTGGAGGGCGGAGCCCTGGGGACTCTCTGCGAAGGGCCCCCCAGATTCTGGAACCAGCTCTGGATGTTAACTGTCCTCATACGGATGCCTGCAGATGTTACCGGAGACCACAACTACATCAAAGGTGAGCTCGTGCTGTCGCACTGAGATGAGCCCTCGGATTGGTGCTCTCCACACGAAGTATGGAGACGAACAGCCCTCTGCCAGCAAGCTGATTGAACAAGGGCGTCTCTTAATGCTAGCAAAACGCCAACTCCTTCATACTCATAAAAGATGTGTGATGGCAGATGATGGCAGTCTTCTTCCCCAGCTGTCTCAAACACAGGAGTTTTTTGAGCAAAAGGGGTTTACACAGTGTGAGATGGAGGGTGAAAGGCTATGGCAAAGCAAGCAGCAGACCAGGGGTCGTTTCGTAGAAAAAGAGCTAGGGGAACTCATTAGCATAACTCATTAGCATATGCCACACCCCATGACATCACCGGAAGTGTGTCATAAGGCCACACCCCCTGACATCACCGGAAATGTGTCATAAGGCCACACCCACCATTCAGTTAGTCTTAGTCTTAAAGGTTAGTCTTAAAGGTGCTATTTGTTAGTCTTAAAGGTGCTGTTTGAACTCTTGGACTAGTTTGCAGCAACAGACTAACACAGCTAATTCCTCTGAATCTAAACCCACCACTCAGGCTCCACCCCCAAAATCTCCAAGGTATTGTGCGGTGGACCTGCAAGGCTGGCAGGAGTGCGAGGAAGCCCCGCGAAGGCCCCCCGCCCCCAA